GTCACGATCCAATTTCCTTTAAATGTCGCCGGACTCCCATGTTGCAAGCACAATCTATTTAACCTCTGGAATATGAAGTTCCTCGAGTGTAAGATACAAATCTTTTGGGCAGTGATCACAGTCTACGTAAAGACACAGACCTGTTAGTGGGTCGTACAGTGTTGAATGTTGAGCCTGTAACCTTCTCTAGAGGGGCAATACAAAGGCAATAATTGGCGCAGCGCACACAAGCGCACACTTACCGGCGTGGAATACATTTACCACATCTAGGGCGCAAGGAAAAAAATTTCGTTAGCATAATACTGGAATCAGGAAGCTTGTCTTTGTATACACGAAAGGCCTCACGGATTGAGCATGTCATGAAGTGCTTTGGTACGAACGTCTTCTCCCCGTCGAGCATGGCAGACATCACGTCCTTCTGGTCGGGATTTTGGCGCGAACATTGCAGCTCGTCTTTCGTGAAGTACTCTGGGGCAGCAGACACGTTCTCAGCTCATAAAACACGCCATGCTTTTCCTTACCTAGAGCGTAAACACTGTCGCGATGTTAACCTTTCCTAGGTTAACATGGCGACAGTGTTTACGCTCTACTATTGTATTTAGGCGGGGTTCGAGTATTTGGGGAATGACAGCTCAGTAAACAGGCATCGGCGGCCATATTTTGCTGGTTGAAGTGGACTCCCTTATCTTTGACAGCGAGCGGGAAAATACGAAAAAGGATTCTAATGGCCGTTTTGCCAAGACCAGCGAGAAGTGTCGTCTGCTACTTCAGTCAGCTATTTCGCCATAATCGTGATCTTCGCGAGGAAATAAATTTTGCTAACCACAGAACACTATGACGCAGATAAGGAACGTTTGCATATGTTTTTATTCTAGGTATACGTTAGGGATATATATAAGAGAGAAAGAGATGGAGATAGAGGGGAAGAGAGAGGAACATACAGTGTCATAGGACAATTAAGTAAACAAAGTTCTCAGTGGTTGATGGCTGCATGATCTTTTTTCGGATCACTAGTCCGTAGTATGATACCTCTTTCTATGCAGTGGTTTCTCCACATTTTTACTGTGCGAACCATTGCTATAGTTATCAATGGCCTCGTCTGAATAAAATATATAAAATATGCGTGTTATTTTCTTGAAACTGGAACTCAGAGTCACTTCTCGCATAGGGCACTGGTAAGTGTAGGCTTTGAAGAAGGACCCTCTTTTGGGGAGTTATGTCTCTTTTATCAATCAAATATTGTAACATATCTTAATATAAAAATAATGCCCAAATAGAATATGACAAGGTACCCAAATTTAAAAGAAATTGAAGGTGGTGTTTTCTTCTTTTTTTGTTTTTTGTTATTCGCATTTGAAGTCTTCGTTGTTTGATTTTTTCCCATGTTTGACTAGATATATCACGACTTTTGTATTACTAAGATGCCCTAATATATATATATATATATATATATATATATATATATATATATATATATATATATATATATATATATATATATATATATATATATATATATATATTAAATAATAGCTCTATATATTTAGAATACTGTCTGCAAAGTATATGATGGTGATTCAATTATTTCATGAGATGCAGGCCTCAAAAGTTTGCCATTGGTCGTCCGAGCAGGCAAATTTGGGATTTTTCGGAAAGTAATTATAATTTAAACAAAATATTATTACTATATATTACAAGCAAACTGTATCAAAAGTTCGTTCTTGAAAAGTATAAGAATTCTACTAATGTTGCCGTTTTAGTTATTCAATTTCAAACGTGCCCCCTCCATCATTGCTCGTTAACGAGACCATCCACCTCTTCACGCTGAACGACTTTTCCTTGATATTGTAGTGAGTGCGCAGGCGAGCTGGTGGAAATTAACCATTCTGATGTTAGCCTGAGACTGAGGCAGGAAAAGAGGAAGTTTCAAAGTAGAAGAATCGAGAAAGTATCCTCGACTGTTCCTTTTTCTTCTACTTTGAAACTTCCTCTTTTCCTGCCTCAGTCTCAGGCTAACATCAGAATGACTTTTCCTGTCCCCAATTTATTTTTTCTCGTCAAGACTAAGGGTGGATTTGTTTATGCCAGACACATATACATACAATTATATACAATGGCATATAAAAATATCAGTTTATTTAAAAATGTCGACCAGCCACCGTCTGGTCGATCTTCTCTGAAATCACCACTGAGCATTTTTAAGGGGCTTCTTTCTGCCGCCAGTTACTCCGGATGGGAGCTACAACAACACCACCTCCATGCAACGAAACAGAGCCACAGATTCCATCCTAGAGTAGATACAGTGGCGCTTTTGAGCCCGAAATACGTCACGTGAAACTACCCTGTATATTGTTCTGCTGAGTCACGCGACCCGATGAGGTCATGCTGTTTGCTATGTCGTAGCGCTTTTGTTTCTATCTCTCAAGCCCTAGCGAAAGCACAAGGCATTTTTTTACAAAAGAAAAGAAACTATCAGTTTCTTCGTTTAAAAATAAACTGGATGTTTCTTTTGGGAAAAAAAAAACAAGATTAAAAAATATATAGAGGGGGCACGCTGGTGGCTTGCTATGAATCGCGTAAGATGACGGCTATCTGCGTGCTTGTAGTAGTAATCTTGTATAAAATAAGGACAGAAAACAGTGAGGTCACCATAAAGTCAACTTAACAAACCAGTGTTTACGATACTATATTATCAATCTAGCTGAAAAGCGAGCAAAGTGTCCTCAAATATATCAATATTTAAGTGTAGGCACAAAGATATTCGATGTACCCAGTTAAATAAACTACGTTACGGTTCTATACGCCACGCAACCCCCTATCTGAGCGTCGTCTGCTCCATTGCAACGTCGTCTGCTCGCAACGTCGTCCGCGACTGTCTTACCTTTCCTGCGACTTTCGGAAGTGCTGGTCTTTAGGAGCGAGCTCGACTTCGCCTTTCAGAGAGTGCAGACGAAATAACTCGAGCGGTACGTCGTTTTTGTCTAACAACTAGCAGACGCGCATCAAGGAGGGAAGTCAAAGGACTCACTGGCGAGGTGTCCCGAGGCGCCGAGGTTTGTTTGCTAAGAACCGAGAGGTGAGGGTGGTTAGTGTCCGCAAGTTCCCTCCCAAATACTTTTTCCCTCCTTTCGTGTGCGGCGAGGCTCCTCACTCTTTAACGGCGTCGGCGGGTTGGCGCAGTTAACGTCGTCTGCTTTACGTCTGCTAGTCAAAGCGATGGCTGCTTTACCTTTCCTGCGTCTGTCGGAGATTCGCCGCTTTTTCACCGGCGAGAGTCACCGCTGCCTCGGAAAATAAGATGACAAGAGAAAGTGATTGACCTCTTAATCTAAAATTGAGGTCAGCGATCAAAGTATAATACGGGAACTGTTAACAAGGGTTCACAAGGGTAGCATGGGCATATTCCATTCCGCACGCCAGCCGGTCGTGGGCAGACGGTCTTGGCCAAGGACCGTAGGAGCAGCACTGAGCCGAGTCGGAGTGCCTGCTAGGCCTATCTGCCGATCTCGCCTGGTCGCGGTCAGTGGAATCGTGGTCGTTGGAGCATTTCCCGGGTGTTTGTGGATCCAGCGTTCTTGTTCGTCGCGGTTTATTTTAAATACTTTTTTCTTTTTTTCTTGCTGCTTGTAGTCGGGACGCGTGAGAAGAGCACGTACAAAAATAAACGTCCGTTGGTCGTCGTGACCAAGCAACTGAGCAACGCTGTCGATCGTGCTGATTTGATCGTAAGTGCGTAAGACAGCTTCGGAGCTGTCGTAGGATTCCGTCGTAACCTGCGCAAAGCGTACTATAATTTCGTTTCATAAATACGAATTTGTTCGTACGTTTTTTTTCTTACTCACATTTTTGGCGTAAGATCGTTTCGTGAACATGGCCTCTGCACTTCCGAAAGTCGCAGGAAAGGTAAGACAGACGCAGACGACGTTGCAAAGGAGAAGACGACGCTCAGATAGGGGGTCGCGATCAGCCAATCATGGCTCGGTGTTCTGACGTCACCGCTACCCCCTGCGCAAGAAGCAGACAAACTTGCCCTCCGCATACATCAGGTTATGACTGAGGACATATCATTGGTGACACAACTCAATCGAAAAAAACGTGCCGCTTAAAGGCCGACGACCAGACTTGAGATTCTGCAAGGCAGACGATCCTCCTTACCATGGAAGAGGAGGAAACAAGCAACGGTGGGCAGGGTAGAAGAGGGGAGGGAACGAATAGAGTGAAAAGTGGAAAGCGCGAAGTAGTCGTCGGCTTTTAAGCCATAAAGTCAGGCTCACGTGTTCAAATGTATATGTTTGGAGATTGGTTATTTTAAAGCTGTCTTTTTTTGTGAAGCCACACTGTCAGGAAAATGCTATAAAAAAGCGTCTAGCCTCTTTTTGAACAAGAAGAATATTCCAACGTAAGCGTCTTTAATGTTCCCCTAATATTACTAAACTTCCTCAACGTTTGAAGCTAAAGCCAACACCTTTCGAAATTATTTACCACACCTTTCTAAAAATATTGTTGGCGTTCACACAATATTACGAGTGCAATATGCCCAAGACGAACTTAATTTTTGCAGTGCTGCAAGCCGGTAATGAGTAGCGCCTTATATAAAGAGAGTTCGGCCATTCACTGGGATGGCCCACACACAATGAAATAAAGTGTAGTTTGTCGGAGGTGGGTTGTACATTTCTACGAATACATCCTTTGGTCAATCACGAAATTTGCCAGGGGTAGAAGTGGCCGAATATTCTTAACACCAATCGCTTAATTTGTTTTAAAATCGCGGCAGTTGAAGGTAACGAAACCTACTATAAACTATGAGATACAATCTAGACAATCAAAGCAGCTCTAAATATCGACTCATACATGGTACTCCAAGCAAAACTTCTCAAGTATAGCTAATGTCCGGCTTTGTAATATTTATCATCAAAATCATTTAAAGCTGTAAGATGCAATATTGGCGCTTTTTAAAATTTTCCGTGTTCACCTGATGATCACCTGCTCTTATAATCCAGCTCCTGGCAAGAAGTGACGAATCTACAAGCCCACCTCAAAAGGAGTCCGAGCCATCCACGAAGCTGAAAGACATTGATAGAAAATTAGAATCAGTAAGCCTTACATTATGAATAGCTAGCTGAGAGCTGGTGTACGAGTTGGATGCATACAGGTATGTTATTCTGTTTTGCCAGGAAGGGTGGCTTCAGCTTCTAAAGGATATCTTCCAAGATGCGTCAGTGAACTTAACCGAAGAGGAAGAAGTCAATGCTATCAATGAAAGATTCCTTAGGGGAGCTATGAAGTTGCTTAATGAAACATCTGGGTAAGAAAAAAGGCTTTGCAAGGTGTTTTAACGCTCAACAGAAGCCGTCATAATTGTATAAAATTTAAAAGCGCTAACAAAGACGAGGACAAAAAAAAAAGGAAGGCGAACAGGACGAGCGCTTGTCCTGTTCGCCTTCCTTTTTGTCCTCGTCCTGTTCGCCTTCCTTTTTTGTCCTCGTTTTTGCTAGCGCTTTTAAATTCTATATCATGAACCAACTCGCCCGCTTCGCCACTTTAGTTCACGTCATCATTGTGCTGGAATTTTGTTTAAGGATATGTCTTACGTGCTTTTCTACGAAAGACTTACAGTTATCTTCGACAACTTAGAATAAGATAACAAAGTTGTAAATAAAATATTAAGCCAGGTAAGAACTAACATAACTGTTACGACCGCCTCTCGAGTTTTCCCATCTCATAATGAATTGTCGTTACTTACGGTTTTTCAAACCAAGTTGTCCTATTGGCCCGATGATTTATCGAGTCATTTTGCTGAATATTGAATTCTAGAGTTGATTTATAAGTAATAATTACACAAAGTATAAGTGTCTAAGGCACATCTAAGCTATGTAAAGAATATTGTGCGATAACGTTTGCGCAGAATGACAAATATTCGTGCTATTATTAAAATAAAATAAAAAAAAAACCACTACGAGGCACCGGGTCTTTTAAAACTTTGTATTGCCTAGAATATTAATAAGGAGAAAATGACATATAAACATTCTGCTTGAATCTGGATGACATTTAGCAACCTTCTCTGAATTTGGCGCAATTAAAAAAAAAAAAAAAAAAAAGACAAAACCCGCATATTTGAGATGGCAAAGTTTGGGCTTCGGAATTGTAACTGAATATGCGACGCAGAAATAATTGATCTTGTTTTTTTTTCCTTAGGGTAATAGTGAACAACTACTTTGGATGGAAACTTCTGTCTAAATTAGGTCCGATTGCTTCGCATAATATGACAACACTCAACTTGGAGTTCAACAAAGTGTGGAGGGGCCTCCAGGGACCGGAGCCACGATGGAGACATTGCGTCAGCGCAGTGAACGATCCGTATGACCCCATAATCGGCAACGGGCTGGGAAAGCTGTATGCGGATAAGTACTTTAATTCAACGCAGAAACAAGATGTGAGTACCCTACAAATAAAAATTGTCAATAGTTTTGTAATATTAATCTCGCACTTAAGCTAACAGAGCTAGATGTTAGGTTGTTTTACCCTGGACCTTTATCGGAAAACTACGACGTGTCTATAGCAACGTGGACGGGGAGAAACGTGAATGAGGATGCCGATTGCTGGTATTCTACATGCTGAAGAAGATTTTGGTTTTCTTATGCAGCCGACAGAAGAGAGTTAATAAATGTTTAGGCTCATGAAGTAATAAATAAATCGAATAGAACTTTACTGGTACGTAACGAAATTACATAAAACAGCAGAAATTTAAAGTAAATGTAACCAACTGCCGCGTATGGTACACGTAATTTAACATTTACGAGACGGATGCTTTGGCGTCAAAGGTCCTCCCGCGTACATTGAGAACGCTGGCTACCCTTACAAAAAGCTGTGTTTTTTTTCTCTTGAAAGGCTGTTTTAAAAAGTCATCAGATAATATAAACTGTCATAGCCTTTCATTTGACATTGTCTAGCTTATGTGTTGACTTTCTTTTGAATATTGGTCTACTTCTTAATAAAAAAAAGTCAACAGACTTTCTGTCACCTCCAATATGCTTCTTTTGTAGCTTTTCAAATGAAAAACTACAGCCGTGTAAAAAGAGAAAAAAATCTTTATAGCATAGCTATTCATTAAACAAAGTTTTGGAAGCTTACTATGGCTTTCCACTCTGCTCCCAAATCGGCTGCAGCAAAATGACGTAAAAAAGCGAATTTTTTTCTATTTGTTTTATTTAGAAATTTGGTTTTCGTTAGGAAATAGTGTCCCTCTGTGCATTTTAAATCAGCTACTTACATACCACAACTCGGGAATAGAAATAAACAGAAACAAACACCAGCAGTGAACAACGTAATCACAGTCCCGTTAACAGCTCCAGAGCCTTATATAGCCTACATACTGAAGGTGATCAAATGGCCGCTGACCACCTAGGAACTTATTAAGGTTCCAAGTATTCGATCTTCTTCTCGGGAGCCTGCCAAAGAGAAAACAGTTTTTTGGAGTGTGAGGACAATATCTTTTAATAAAATCATTGGTACAGCTAATAATATTATGGCGCAGTCGCTAAACCAACATCCACATTACGGCTTCTAGAAGAAATGTTATCGTTTCTCTGCATAGCACCACTCAGGACGATGTGAGTCAAGGCAGCTTCTTCACATTAAAATGGTTATTTTGTTTATTATACAGGTTGTCTACATTAATATGGTTATTAAAGTCACAAGAATCACCTACAAAGTGAGAACGGCAGGGCATGTTTTTTGAACGCCTGGCCTCCAGCACACGCCCCATGCCTTTTGTCGTGCTTTTTCTGCACGTGCGCGCTCGAGGTGCACGAACGCCGAAGTGGTGTCAAGGGTGGTATGCTCGCGCTGGAGGCGGGATAACTGAAGCTGCTCCCTACCGTTCTCACCTTGTCAGAGTCTATTGAGAAACTTAGTGACTTTTGACATCTAGTCGAGGTGTACTATGTTCAATAAAAAGTCAACAGAAAGTTTGTAGCAATTCTATTGACACTGCCTACAGAGAATCAAGTCAACATTTTCAGTAAACAGAACGTCTGCACTCATACTGATGACACTGTCAAAAAGAAGTAAAAAAAAGATCAACGTAAAGTTAATAGAAAATTAATAGATTTTCTTTTGACCAAGATTGAAAAGAATCATCAAAAAAGTTTCAGCACAAAATCAACAAACTTTCTGTTGTCCATGTCAACAGAAAGTCAAAGTCAAAAGAAAGTAATCAGAGTCAAGAAGAAGTCAACACGTTTTCAATAAAAAGTGAAAAATCATTTTTTTATGGGTAACTTGGGACCGGACAGCAGGGGCTGTTTCGCACGACAGCAGTAACGCGGCACACCGTGGGAAAAAAGGCCCCCGTACGGGGCAGTTCAGAATCAACAATCTCCCGCCCGGCCAAATATCATGTCAGTGCACCGAGGCCTGTCCTATCCAATCAGGGTCTAGTTAGAATACCAATGCCAAATGCACTCTCGACCAATCGGGCGAGCGACACTACCATCACCGGAAGGCCAAAGTGTCAGCTCCCAATTTCAGGTACACGGCTCAGAGCCTAAACATCAAGACAGGAGCCCTGGTTTCATTTTGTTTAAAAAGCGCACAAGCGACAAGGAGAAAGTAGAGAACGATCACGAGAGACAAACGCTCACTCGCAACTGGCAGTTTCCCTCTCTTTTTTTCCCTCGTAATAGAGGGAGCACCCTCTCTTTAGACAGGTGCTCCCTCTATACGAGGGAGCACCTGTCTGTCGTGTTTATTCTATTCAATGTCCTCACCTTACGCGTGTCTTTAAGCAGGATGAATTCCTACCAACTAGCTCAGTGTTCAACCCTTCTAGAGCCCTGGTTTGTTTCTGGCCGGCAAGAATAAAGTGACCTTGATGATTTAGGCGAGAATCACCAAAACGTGCATCACGAGGAAACGTTTTCCGCACAACAGAGCGCGAGCTTTAGGTACGTTAAAAAGTAGATAAACTGAGAACTTGGCCGACACAGCCGAGTAGACAAACGCATGGGTTTTGTAAACGCAAGCGCAGCGAACGACCACACAGGATTCCAAGAATACGGAGAACACTTCCGGTGTTTCACCCAACACTATGTCTACGTCTACTCGTAAACCTCTGTCGCGCTCGGGTCCCCCGAAAATCCCCCGCCCCCCTTCCCCCTTTTCCTAACCGATGGAACATAATCCGAGGTCTTTGCCGGCGTGGCTTGCGTCCGCGACCCGCGTCTATGGCTACGTTTACACGGATGCGACTGCAGCGCATCGGATCCAGTTAACGAATCGAATCGGTCCATGTAAACAACTCGGATCGGATCGGATCGGATCCAATCCGATCCGCTGGGACGGGGTGGTTTGAGATGGTCAATCCGAATCGAGACTCTCCATGTATACGCTTGCGGATCGAATCGAGTGCTCGAGCGAGGGATTACGGGAGCTTTGCTTCGCCTGCCGGTAGGCAAACCGGACACCTCGAAAACAATCTGAAGGTCACGAGATTTGCGTTGTGACCTTCGACACCAGGTGCCGCTGCTGGTCGATCCGAATCCATGTAAACTTAGTGGTTGAAGTGGATCCGATTCGCTAACTGGATCCGATGCGCTGCTGTCGCATCCATGTAAACGTAGCCTATGGCACTTCGTCAGGTTTACAAGGAGGCCTGCCCATTGAAAAGTGCACTTGAGTGTTCTGCTGGCTGTGTAAGTTTGTGTGCCCGGTAGCCCGGGTGCTTTGGTTAAAGGTGAAGACTTCGGCTGTGGGAAAGATGCAACCTAGTCCGTGATGAACGAACTGTAGGTTCAGCATGTACCGGGACCTATGCGGAGCGCAAGTTGGTCTGCTTCTCTTGCAGGGGTTGTGATGACGTCAGAACGCTGAACTCTGATTGCTTCTGTATGAAGGATAGTGGGTAGACCTTGAGGCAGCTTGCTTTGAGGCATCAAGAAGCAGACGAATTTGCTCTCCGCATAAACAAGTTCTTCAAACAAAACCCAATCTCGGCGGGTAACAGAGTTAGTTTACACTAACTCTGTTAAAAACAAAAACGACAGATATTCAACATTAAAAAAAATCATGACAATGTGGGGACTGGTAAGCAGTAGCTCATTATAGCACAACGTGTTCATGACTTTCAAATTCTAAACTGATAGCCCGCAATATTTTATTTTATTTTCTCCTTGAAAAATAGAACCGTTACAAACTAGATTGACACAAATGATTTAAAATTGATTCGTACCGTGATTTTCAAGCAAGCACGTTTAGAACGGAAACAACATACTTTCATTCTTTAGCTGCGTGCAGCGAACAATTGTTGTGTGAAATTTGAAACGTATATTTCCTCAAAATATTTTTTTTTTCGGGTCAGAAATATGCTTCTATTTTCAGGTAGAGTCACTTGCCGAAAGTGTTAGAGAAGCTCATTTAGCTGTTATTCAAAACACCACATGGATGGACAATGACACTAAAAAAGAGGCAATAAATAAGGTAAGTTTGCTCGAAATCAGATGTAAATTATTTGATGGATTCACAGAAGTAATGTTTATTGTTTGCTTTCAGTTCAAAAATGTGGTTTTTAAATTAGGCTACCCCAAAGACATATATCAAGAAGATGTCTTAAAAGACATGTATAAACACGTGAGCATATTGAAGTACAATTTTATATACATGTGTTCAATATGTCTGAGTAGTTCATCACATAGATAAACACAAATACATTTAACAGTTATATCAAAATTGAATTGTCCCTTAAATTTGGGTTTTGCTCTTGGAATAAATTTATTTAAAAGCCTCTGACACGCCACAAAAAAAAAAAAAAAATTCTTTTTCATGCTAGGCGTTGAAATGGCATGTCAGGACATTACAAAAAACGTTGTTTCACTATAGAATTGCGTATTTTTGTTTATAAAAAATAGAAATACGAGGGCCAGTTCAAAGTTCCCGCCAGTGCACTGTGACGTAGCAGTGTACCGCAAGGTGTCGGGGCGGTCAGAAGGGAGGCATCGACCTACGTTACTAAAAGTGAGTTCGCAGGAAGTCACGTGAGTTTCACTCCTCGTGCTCTCCGCGACCGTGCCTAAGACTTTTCTTTCTGCTCTTTGTACGAGCGATTGTAGAGGACGAAGTTTCAGTACTACTAGCTCTTTATCGATGCACCGTTGGTTAGTTTGCGTGCTGTAAAAGTTGAGGACGAAGAGTCAGTGGATCGACGTGATGGAGGTCAATGATGAAAGCGTTGCGAGTGCAAGCCAGTGTACGAGTGCACACCGTCAGTCCGATGATACAGAGCTATACTAGGCATAAAAGAAACTATCAAGTTTTGAAAAAAAAATTTTAGAACGCTCGCAGAAATTAGGATTGCTATCGAACGACACGCCCAATTGCATTGCTGAAGGTTCGGACACCGAGGTCGTCGAATCATCGTATACTCTCTAGGCTGAAGATGCCTGCCGTCTCTCGGAAATGCATGCAGTGTGATCTCTTCTTCAGTTGCTGAAATACCGGCACAGTCCCTCACACAGCACCTTCTCGGCATTGTAATTGATTACGTCAATTCACTGACTCTTTTTCTTCTACCTTTACAGCAACATTAAGCGACGAAAAGCAAACAAAAGAAACCTTGTCTGCTTGGATCGCTCGTGGAGGTGCGGGGAATAACAAAAATATTTGAAAAAATATTACGCGCACTCGCGGTAAGCACGAAGAGGGATACAGCTCACGTGACTTCCGGCGATGCCTCCCTTCTGACCGCCCCGACACCTTGCGGTACACTGTTACGTCACAGTGCACTGGTGGGAACTTTAAATCGGGCCTCGTATTTCTATTTTTATAAAAAAAAACTACGCACCTCTATAGTGAAACAATTTTTTGTAATGTCCTGACATGCCATTTCAACGCCTAGCATGAAAAAAGATTATTTTGTCGTATCAGGGGCTTTTTAAGAGCAGCCTAAAGCCGTAGTCATACTGCTTATACATCATGCAAAAGACAGCCTGCATACAGATTCGAACGGGAGTCACCGCGATATCCGTGCTTCGAATGCCACAGAGCAATGAGTTCAAGGAGGAAACTTGGTACGAGGCATTCGAACCACGGATATTGCGGTGATTCGTGTTTGCAGACTGTCTTTTGGATGATTTATGACCAGTGTAACCCCGGCTCAACACTTCTTGCTGAATTAGCGCCATTTTTGTGCATTGCGGGAAAACAAACATTTGATGAGGAGACTTAAGAAATATTGTTAAAAGCGTTAGAGAACAGATTTAAGTGGATGTAACGGACCTTAATGTGTTTTATGCAGGTTGGGAACGTAACACCAGGTGATCCTTTCCTTAATATTTACTTGACCTTCAGAAAAAACAATGCTATTCATAAATTACAAAAGGTGCACAGTCCCTACAATCGGAGTAAGGAGTAAGTATACATTTTTTTATCTTTTGCGAAAGAAAACATTTGCACGTGTCCCTGTACACCACTGCAGTGCTCCGATCTGGTGGTATTTAAAAAAAATGGCTTGGAAACATACTGCAGTAATAAATCAGTTATCGTATTTGTATTAAAATGTATGTTAAAGTACGACCGTGACTGGTCATTTGCTATTTAGTTTGTAAGCGTTTTGGCTTTGTTGTTTTATTTTGTTGAAAAAGATGCTTCCTCTTCGATAGAAAAATTTCAAGAAACAAAACGACATCGACTAGATTTCGGTCCTCAACCAAAGATTCTATATATATTCCTCATTAAGGTTTAAGTATACCAGCTGTAAAAGAAGAAAACCTGACCAAAAATTGCCAGGAGTGCCATAAACGCTTACTCGTTCCTGAAGGTTTTCCTCCGGGGGAATCTTCAGACCATGATATGATTTATACTTAAGAAAAGGCCAGTCGCATTACATGGCTTACCAACCAGCATTAGCCAATTTAGGTCCCGATTCTAGCGTAGTTCCTTTTGATTCTTTCGAAGTAAAGAAACCTAGCTATACAACCTAAATAACCGCCATCTCATTTGCTTTCTCAGGTTTTCTGGGCATAGTTGATTCACAATGCGATGAAGTTAGCGTAGTTTCTAAAAACACAAAAATTCCTTGTAGAGTGTGCTGCTTTTATTGAAGGTCACGGCCAACACGTTTAGGACTTGGCCGCTGGGATGTTAATGGTGGTTTGCAAAGCTGAACTGAATTGTTTTTCCTTTACATTAATAAGTTGAGAGGCGTCAAAAGTAGTAATGGTTGCCTCATCATTTATTTCGCCAACCTAATCCACTTAGTGGGCGAATCAATTGTATGACGTCTTGGTGTATATTTTTAGATGATTAATGCTAGTGTTCGAGCACTGTTTCTCATACGGGATAAAAATTGAGACGTTCTGCCCAAGGGTTAGAAAGAAGAATCTCTTTTCTTCTTTTTATTACAAAATCCTCACGCCGGCACCTGTTCACCAAACAGGCACCCTCACTGGTCTAGGAACTGGGGTGCTACCAGTGCTCTGTGTCGTAGCGCACTTACTCTGCTGACAGGCTGTAACAGCTATGGCTCTCTATAGTAAAACGCGGAGTATGACGGACCAGGCAAATAGGATCATTAATTCCATGGAAAGTTTTTTATTTTATTATTCAGAAATCTTTTTATAGGCGTATTGTTTTCAAGTTAAAAATAAGTGATTTTGGAACCGTGTCTTCCTCTTTAACCATATCTAATTAGTGCTTGGGTTTATGCTATTGTGTTACTAATGATTTTAATACTGGAACCTGTATATCGTGCTGTCTCTCTCGTATTAGTGTAGTTTTTGTAAACCTTTGCAGTGCAGTTAATGAATGCATATATCAATTTTCCTGACTTCACAGTTATCTTACTTGATTTTTTATACGCGTTTTTACGCGTTCCCGAGCTCATTAAAAGCGGCATTTCAGTTATCCGTCTTTTCTCGCACACTACAAAAATAAAACCACATCCCGGTTTCGATCGCTCCCATCACCCCATCAGAAACCCTAACCTGTTGCTAAATGCTTTCACTATACCATTCCTGGGATGATGTATGACCTATTTGAGCGTTTATTTATTGTTATATTATTGTTATTTAAATATAGCAGTTTTAATAACCGTTTTCTTGTATCTTCTTTCTCCCTTCACATTGCCTTCGGGCACTGAGAGTGCATTTAATATATGAATAATTTAATACAAGCTGTACCGCCATTTGGTGTGCGTTTTTCAGAGACAGTAAGCTAAGTTTTATTTCACGCACATTCCTTGAAAATCCGTTACGAGAAATCACCTTCTAACATAAGTCTATCTGAGTGTACTGATGTGCTTCAGGTGCGGGGTTGGACAGGGACAGCTAATCGCATGTGCGGTAGATCACGCTGTCAGGCACGCAAGAGTGGTCGCTTGCACTCCTCGCAAAGATACACTTACACAGATGCACGCCCCCGTGCATTCACACACAAAACGGAAACATTTGCATATTTATGTAAGCTGAAGATTGAACACAAGAGCAGAAACTTTGACTTACCTATTAACTGATGCTCGTGAAGAGCAACCGGCTGCCAGAAGCCATAAAGCGCATAAAAAAACATGTATACAAGATGCCACTTACTGTAAAAAAAAAACTCTAACCAAGAAATAATTCGGATCCTGACGCTTCAAGGCCAATTCGGCCCCCTGTTTACGGGTGACTGTTTTCCGTTCTTTTCCTCGTGTTGCTAATTGCTCAATGTTGCTGGCTTCTTTGTAGCCGTCTTTGCTTCTGCACGTGTTTTAAGGTTCGTAGCGCAACGCGTGACGCACCGCAAACCGGACACGTAGGCGTTTCGAAGTGTCCCAGCTGACCGGTCGGCATTATTTTCGGTGTTTTGAATGTGCCAGGACTCTAAAAAAAGCATCTTCGCCAGTTTCTTTTCGTGAAAAAAATAGAGCAGTTGTTGAATACGATCTTGTGACCCTCTTTCTGCACGTGTTTTGCCAGCGCGCTACCCTGCCCGTTATTCTTTTTGACGATATAGTGATGCTGGCGTCGACGTTCCGGGAAGTTTTTAGTTCCCCCAACGTAGGAGGCCGCGCAGTCACCACAAGGAATCCTGTAGACGAGTTCCTGAGCCTTTTTTTTAGGGGGACGACCATTAGGAAGAGAGAAGAGGCGTCCAATGGTGCACACCGTCGTATGTGTCACACTGACGTCGTATTTTCGTAAAACAGATGAGAGAGAGAGTCTTGCTTATGTCCAGAAGCTGGCAAATCTCGTCGATGGAGAGGCACGTCCTCTCGGAGAGTTCGGTGTCGGGCGACAGTGCCGTTCTCGCTACAGACACTGCAAAGAGGCACAGGCACACTTGTATATAGAGATACCACGTCGAAGAACATGAGACGTTCGTCATCCTGCAGTTCGAGACCGGAGGTGAGCTCGATGAAGTGGCCGGAGTTCTGCAAGTACGTGTTTGTGTTCCCCGTGAGTGGTGACAGCAACCAATGTTGGTAGTTCGATAACGTACGTTCAAAACACCGAAAATAACGTCAACCGGTCAACTGGGACACTTCCAAGTGCCTACGTGTCCGGTTTGCAGTGCGTCACGCGGGGTGCTAAGGACCATAACACACGTGCAGAAAAAACAGCCACTTCAAAGAAGCTAACAACACCGGGCGATTTGCAAGACGACGAAAATAACGAAAACAGCCAGCCGTGAACAAGGGGCCGAACTGGCCTTGAAGCGTCGGGCTCCGCATTATTTTTTGGTTTGAGTTTTCCTTTTACATTAATTGTCATTCATAGCCAGCTGCATGCCCACCGAAAGGTGGACATCCACCTTTTAGTAGATGCTTTCGGTATTGGCATCCTGAACCTTTCGTTTCAAGATGCCAAAACATGCGTTCGCGTCTTTTGGTGTAATGCTTACTGATATTTTGATCTGCTCAATTTTCACAATAGATAGAACCTCCGCCATCTCCGCATCCAATAGCGTCCCATCGTTTCCGTGACGTCGCGGCCAACGCGCGAGGAGGGTCTTGCCTTTCTGTACATATTTGCTTTATCTTTCGGCTTTGACTTAGCATTGTGGACGCCACGAGAGGGAAATTAGAGTTTTTCCCCTCCGATGGAAACAAATACGACGTTCGGGGATTAGTTTCCAACTCCGATGGATACAAAAGCTGCTTTCAGGGGCTCGGCCGGTTCCCCTCCGATGAATGCAAAGGTCGCTTTCTTCAAAAGTGGGATCGGAGACAAGTTGGCATCGCTCTGTACCCAATATCTATCCATTGAAGCGGAACAAGGAGCGTTTCCTGTGAACTCTTCTTTCGAATGCGGACGGATCTGAAACGGGCGCATCACGCTTGTGAGAGCAGCTTCTCCCACCTTCTTGACTTGTAACCGACTATAGACCGTTCCATTAGGGTGATAGCAGAGAGGGTAAAAGAAAAAAAAATGCACACCCCCTCTCACCCCGCGTTTCGTCCGCTCCGCCGAGTGGACTGTAGCTAGCGTCCGGCTGGCGTGCAAACTCTGTTTAAAATCGCATCATTTTGGAACTTTCATGTGCAGATGCGCAGATTTTGGTATGCCAGTTATCGTGTAATACTATGCTAGATAAAAAGACTCACAGGGTCCAATTGCATTGTTACCTGCGTGCAAATAAAAAACAAAAATAGGGAAAACTGTGTGAGATTGGCCGGTCTCTTTGGCGAAAAGAAAATCCTGTTGCTGTACCTTTTTTACTATACAAAAGTTCGTACTGGTGTAGGCCTTTAGCGACCATGAGTGGAAGTCTGAAATAATAAATAAAAACGTGCTCTCCTGCCGCAATAAACTCAGTAGTTGAGGGTAGTACTGCCGGCTGACTCAACTGCTATTTAAGTAACGGAAAAAAGATATGCTAGTTTATCATTTAGCAAAATAGAACAACAGAGAGCTATAGGCTGATTTTGGAGTAGCCACAACTATTCTAAGAACGCGAACCACTTCACAACGGCAGCCACGAGCGAGAGTTCGGTGTTCGGTAGAGCCCGCCGATACAGCCCAAAGATGGAGAACGGCAACCTCCCGGATTGTCGACTGCTAGCGGAGTCGGCGGCGTGCCCTCTCTCTCTCGTTTTACCCCGCCGAACCCGCTGAACTTCCCGGATGTGTGGAGAGGGCGCTGCGGTCCAACAAAATGGTGCCGCCCAGAGAGCGCTAAATGGAATGGTCTATACGCCTCGCAAGTGGGCTCATTTCCGTCTTCTGCGCACGAGAAAGAAAGTAGCGGTGACGTCAGAACGCCGAGCCCTGATTGGCTGATCGCGACTCCCTACCTGCGCGTCGTCTGCTCCTTTGCAACGTCGTCTGCTCGCAACGTCGTCTGCGTCTGTCTTACCTTTCGTGCGACTTCGCCTTTCAGAGAGGGCAGACGAAATAACTCGAGCGGTACGTTGTTTGTGTCTAAAAACTAGCAGACGCGCATCAAGGAGGGAAGTCAAAGGACTCACTGGCGACTAGGTGTCCCGGGGCACCCAAATACTTTTTCCCTCCTTTCGTGTGCGGCGAGACCCCTCATTCTTTAACGGCGTCGGCGGGTTGGCGCAGTTAACGTCGTCTGCTTTACGTCTGCTAGTCAAAGCGATCACTGCTTTACCTTTCCTGCGTCTGTCGGAGATTCACCGCTTTTTCATTGGCGAGGGTCACCGTTGCCTCGGGAAACAAGGAGATAACAAGAGGAAGAAATTGACCTCTTAATCTAAAACTGAGGTCAGCGATCAAAGTATAATACGGGAAAGTTTCACAAGGGTCGCGCGGGCATATTCCATTCAGCACACCAGCCGATCGTGGGCAGACGGTCGCCGAGTCGCGGAGTGCCTGCTAGGCCTAACTGCCGATCGCTTGGTCGCGTTCGGTTGAATCGTGGCCGATGGAGCTTTTCCCGGGTGTTCGTGGATCCAGCGTTCTTGTTCGTCGTGGTCTGTTTCAAGTACTTTTTACTTTTTTCTTGCTGCTTGAAGTCGGAACGCGTGAGAAGCGCACGTAGAAAAATAAACGTCCGTGGGTCGTCGCGACCGCGACGCTGTCGGCCATGCTGATTTGATCGTAAGAAGTGCGCAAGACAGCTTCGGAGCTGTCGTAGGATTTCGTCGTAACCTGCGCAAAACTTACGAAAATTTCGTTTCGTGAATACGAATTTGTTCTTAAGTTATGTCTTACGCACATTTTTCGCGTAAGATCATTTCGTGAATCTGTCCTCTACACTTCCGAAAGTCGCAGGAGAGGTACGACAGACGCAGACGACGTTGCGAGCAGACGACGTTGCAAAGGAGCAGACGACGCTCAGATAGGGGGGTCGCCATCAGCCAATCAGGGCTCGGGGTTCTGACGTCACCGCTACCCCCTGCGCAAGAAGCAGACGAACTTGCCCTCCGCATAGTATGAAGGAAAATAATAATGACGCAGACAAACGTACTCCTCGTTGTAGAACAGTATTATTAGAGGAACGCGCAGAACAAAAAGTTTGCTTAAGAGTCGCTAAACTATAGGGCCACTGCGTGTGCTCCCGTGTGCATCCGAATTAAACACATGCAGTTATGGACGCTTTCCAATAATTGTTAAGTATTGTTTTCTTGTCCACTTGACTGTGTTTGTCGCTTCGCCCTTATTTTACGTTTGAAGGAGAAAAGGCTTTCTGGCGTGTGGTTAACGACAAGATTTATGTGGCTACTTCTCTGTATTCGCTTTTTTATTTAGCCAGTATATTGTATTAAAAGTAATCCTTTACATCTTTTGTGGCACTAGCATAAGCAAGAAATAGCCGATATTTTTTCTTCCTCATTGAGTGTTTCAAAAACGCCCGGAGAGCGCCGAGCGCCGTATCATCGCCCCGTAGCAAATATCTGATAAGTTTCGGGCATTAGCCGATAAAGCGAAAACACAAATCACGAATAAAGAAACGCAAAGATAATAAAGCCATGTCATGCATTTCTTAAAAGGGCAGTGACAGGGTATTAATAAAACAACCGTGGGTGAGCAGGCAAGCTGGCGATAGTTAATCAAGATGTTTAAAACCCGTGACTTTGGTGAGGAAAAGTTGAAAACTAGAGACGAAGAAGGAAAGACACAGGAGAAGGTGTCTCGAACGCAACTAAATCGTTTATTTTCTCTCGCTAGTCATATACTCCCAATAAACCCCGGCACCAACGTTCACAATTTACAAATCGGTGCATTGTGAACGAAGTGTATGCCGGGAGAGGAGTTGCTGGTGTCAATTTGGTGTATGTAAGTAAGGGGAAAAATAGACGATTTAGTTGCGTTTCAGCACCACCACCTATAATACTCAAAGCGTCCGGATCTCCTCCTCTCCCATCTAGAAAAGTCATAACAGTCGGATCGCGCTAACTCTGCTGTTGGGCCCAAGTCCGACCTTCGACGTGCTGATTGAACACGAGCACCGGCCGAACACTGACACAGCACTCGTGACCAATCAAAGGCCTCCATCGATCTGACTGTGATGACGGTGCTGAGGCCTTCTGCTTATCTAGGTCGTGTTGGTTTTCTCCTGTGCCTTTTTCAGTTTCCTATCTTTCGTTCACCACAGTCTCAATTTTTAAGCTTCATGATTATTGCATTTATGCTCACTGATATCTTTATTAAAGCATGAACTATAAAAGCCCGACGGGCCAGAACACAATTTGCGGCACGAAATTCGTTTTCCTTCCGCCCGAAAACAGCCGGCCGAGAATCGGCCGGTTTCAGTGGCGCTTACTGTGTTTTTCATGATTACTTGGAATTCAAACTATGCGTGCCAAACATATTCAAAGTCGTGCGTAATCTAAGACACACATTCAGTAATAAAAATAGAATATAATATAAGCCCCATATTTGTGGCATCCAAAAAAAATCCTAATATTTTTTGTAAAAACAGTTGTTGCACAGATCACAGAAGTGCACGTAATGCGTATATGCTCCGTGTTTACTGAGCCTGTATTTCATCATGCTTAGCTACTAAGGCAGTCTCAACATGGCGACGTACCGCGGCCGGAGCGAGGCAATGGCGGTGAACGAGAGACCAACGTTGCGAAGGACGTGGAGTTGCTACGTCTTAACTGTCGTGGGTGGTACCAGCCAATCGATTTTTAAGCGTATGAACATCGAGCGGAAGGGATATAGGTGAAAATCAATCGCACGACAAACGTTGCACGCAACTTCGTGTCGCGCGTAGCAATGTTACTTCTGGTAGCACTCTTTTCCTCTACATTGCTCCCTTATCCTCGGTACACCCCGTCCAAATGTCACTACCCTGAGCTTCCGTACTCATGTTTCGGTTTTGGTTTCAAAAAGCTTAGTTTCTTTTTTTTTCTTTAATAAAACATATTTTAGGTCACACTGTTGGGCACAAAAGTTATCATCATCATCATTCCACGGGGTTGCAGCTACGGTCTGGGTAGGAAATGAAAAATTTCGTATTGTAACATAAATATTTGACAAAAAAAATTTTTTTAGACGAACGTAATTTTTGAGACGTATTTATCCTAACCAGGCAGAAAAAAAAAATGTTTCGTCTTGGTCTATATGTGTTCAAGAAAGCAGTGCCGCATCAGATTCACCAATCTCTTTTTGGAAACGACAAGAAAAGGAGTTTTAAAACGAATTAAACGATTAGCAAAAAGCACCTGGTGGATGTCGCTAAAGCCTCGTTTGTAATGCCAGTCTAGGAGCTTTGACAGGTATTGACGATGCCTGGCTCGCCGCCGTCTACCACGAGAGGCTAGGGGAAGGAGGAACCTCCCTCTCACTGGAACTCTCGTTTGTGTGTCCCAGACTTCGCTATTATCCCTTCGCAAGATTATAGAAGAATAAAGCGTTACTGAATGTTCGTACAAAAGCAGTTTTGGGGTTGCGGTGGCCCAATCGCTGGCGTGCTTCGGCCGCTTCGGTAGCTGGAACGGCAAGGATATCCTGTCGACGCTAGCCTCGCCGCAGCTTTGCTCGTCCTGAGACAATCTACGTCACGGTGGCGCCGGATGTCACGTGCTCTCCGCTGGCTGTTCTCCGAGCGCTTGCCAGAGTGGGATGTTTCTAACGAAAAATACAGCCATCAGGCTCAAAATACAAACGTGCGGTTGTCATTTAAGGATATTGTGGATCATACTCAGCTTATTTCTTAACACGACGGGTATATTTCAAATCTGTTGAAATAATCCTTTGAGCAGACGGGGACAATATAACAGATCAATCTTACCAGCCAATTTTTCTAGGCCGCCGCTTCCGCAATGCATCCTGGAAACTTGACTGTTTGTGAAGTGTGCATAAACCTCGCTGCGTCTCCGCGGCTCCCCGACCTCTGCCTCCAGCCTCCCGTGAGCTAAGGTTATGGTAGCGCCAGGCAGGCGCCGAGCGCTCTCGGGAAAATCCGTCTACTAAATAGCTGCTATCAAATGTGCTGGTGTGTCAAAGGGTGCTTTTTCAGGGCTCGAACCTAAAAAGTGCGTTTTTGTGTTCAGCATTTTCTTGTCTCAGGAAAATTTCAGAACAATCGCTGATGTCGTCTTTGTGTTAACCCTGTCGCGTAGTGTACAGCTAGCGAATATTTTCTAGACGAATTCCTTTATTTTGCTCGTTTACAAATCATAGTTCACTTAATTTGTACCAATGTTCGCACAAAATCAAGAAGCCACGTATACACGAATATGAAATCCTACAGTGCATCCTTGGCGCATTCAAAGCGCCCAGTTGTATTAGCGGGAAATGACATGCGCATACGATGAGAACGTATGTTGTGAGGTTGCGTAGTTCGAGCTGTTTGAATGAATTATCAGCTCTTACACTTTGCTGAAGTTTTGAGAATGGTGAAACAATGTGCACTTTCTGTCACGCGAATAGACTTAACTGTTTTTTTTTTACAACTATTGTACACCCCCGGTTGCTATTACATTTTATTTCTAGATGGTCCCATGATGTGAGCGAAGTGTTTGCCGCTTATTTGCCTCTGGAAAATTCAGTTGGTAAATATTTTTAAATTTTTTTTTTCGTTTTAATGCTTGTGACAAGGGTTATTATTTACTTTACACTTTCCTTCACCAGTATTGACGGCGGTGACATTGCAACACCCGTTCTACTTGTCTGGACTGCCATCGTGAGTTTAGATGAAAATGCTTTCAACAATCGTGACTGGCTTTGCTATTCTAAAAATAACTAAATTGCATGATATTAATATATATTCACCTTCAACGGCTACAGCTCTGTCAAAATGGGAACTCTGGGATTTATTTTAGGACACGAGCTCAATCACGGCTTTTTTTACCCAGGTTTGTAAATTAATAATACCTATTAGATAAATCTATTTCAAACTATAAATATTTTCTAGGAAGTTACCACGACGAGAATGGAAACAAACGCAAATGGTGGAACAACGAGACGGCGCAGAATTTCGATCCCCTCCAAAGTTGTGTCGTGAAACTGTATGAGGGTCAGACGGAAGAAGAAACTCACTTGAACGTAATATATTTTGCTTAGTTTATTTACATACTCGTGCAATACCTAATATTTCATGCATTTTTAACAGATTAGTGGATATGGAACACTTTACGAAAATATTGCCGATATTAAAGGCTTAGAAACTGCATTTGAGGTGAGTATCAAGGTTAATAAAGCACGAGAATCAAAGTAGCACTACTGGAGAGTTAATTTATGCTTTAGGTCTATACAGCGCGCAAACAAATACAAAATTTGATTAAAAAAAAGTACCGTGGGGTACCGAAAATTAACTGAATGAACTTCGGGAGGGCGGGCTGTTCGTAGTACCAGCATCCGCCGCCAGCAGCGCTTAGCGGCACCGTAAATTTTCCGATCAGCATGGTCTGCTATAGTTCTACGCCATGTCGTGAATTTTATCCCGAAGCGCTTTAAAATTACTTCTCGTTTTTTTGCAATGCCTGCTTTGAAGGATCCCCGACATGCACAAAAAATTTTTCGTTCGAGAATTTTCTTTTTTTTATAAGGACGTACAGGAAATTTCACACGGGACGAGGTCCATTAAATAAAAAAGAGGGCCAGGGGGGAGGGGGGGGGGGAAGGTGCTTTGTTATTTTTGTTCAAAAATTTTTGCACTGACAGAGCATGTGTGCTGGGGAATTGTCGTGATGGAACCACCACTTTCCCATTCCCCACAAATCGTGGCATTTCCCCTCGCAAATGCCCTGAGCGACGTTGGGTGTTCATCAATTATTCACCAGCCTTGAAGCGAGAAAACCACGCATATGCCTGCGATTTCTTCATAGCATCTTTTTTGAAAGCTTGCTGAAGTATTACATGAATTTCCGCCACCATTTTTCCTAAAAGAAAATAATGATTTTAACAGCCGCAAGGTGTTCCTTCAAATCGGACATTGCAAAAAAAACTAGAAATCGTTTTAAAACTCTTGGGGAAAATATTTGCACCACGCTCTTAGAACTTTAACAAACGACGCCGGTCGGCAAAATGACCCGGAAGGGGGAGAGCCGTGTATAGAGCAGGGTGCAAGATAGACAGACAGGTGGGGAAACGAGAGCCAAATGAGCGACCGGATTGTGTCCCTCTCGGTTTTCCCTTTTTCTGTGGCGCCATCTATGTGGAGCACCACGAACTCCCACTCCGGGTGGGCGACCGGTGGCGATCGGCTAAACTGACGGAGATGGTTTCTCGTGGATTTTTAATAAAGGACAGTCGTGCTCTCGGTTTATTTTGCGCACTCTCCCAGAAAGGTCCATGCAAATCCGATTCCGATCTTTTTCCGTAAGCAGACGAGTACACAATCCGGTCACGGCGCTGCGGTAGGCTTCTATGGGCCGTTTCCCAACCTGTCTATCTTACACCCTGGTATAGAGTGAGTCTGGTCCATGGCAGTAGCCGGCTTGAGCCGGGATAAAGAGCCCCGGTTCCCGGCGACGCCGCATATTCCCCCGTGATAAAGTTGCAAAGTTGAATGTGCTAAATTGGCGTAGCGCGGCGCAGTTTTTTTTCTTTTTCTGATGATGTTTGAAGTACATGAATGTATAATTATAAGTTATAGGAGGGAAAAGGAAAGTTTCAAGGTGCTGAGTGCCTTTATTAAGCCAGGAAAGGTGACATTGACGAGAAACAATTTCTGTAACTTGAGGCGCGACTGCGAATGTGGGGTTCGCGTTCGGGTTTGGGTCAAAACTCCCACGGAGCCGAATCCTTATTTTTTATCGTCCATTCCGTCGTGGCCGCGGCAGCGGTCGCCACCGGGAGTGCCGCCAAAAGAAAGCTTGAGTGCGTTCTAAATATCGCAGTAACAACAACGCCACGTATATTGCCCTTTCAGTTACGAAGATTCGCAGATTTCCACTCTTGTGTGCTGAAATGAAATACTTGAATACATCCTTACCTAGAAATTGTGATTGGAGGGTACTTGTTATGCTCATTGTTTTCGCTAGGAGAATATTTGTGGCTAGTGTTTGGCCACAAGAGCTGTCAATCAACGCACCCAAGGTCATTGAAACAACTTCAGCCAACGAGGCACCCTTGTTTGCGCCCTGTTCTTACCAATTAATGACCATTTTCTTTACATATTGACCATTCTCTCTATAGCTTCTGCCGCTAAGCCCAGCTAGTGGCGGAAGCTGGTACTACGAACCGCCCGCCTTCCAGAAATTCATTCCGGTTACTTTTGGATCCCCTCTCGTAGAATAGGATGCTAGTAACTCAGAAGAAATCATTGATATAAAGAAGGGCAGATAATTAAACACCCCTGTGGCCAGCATCGTAGACTTCCCATTTTCCCGGGGGGGGGGGGGGGGGGGGGGGGCAGGCTGAGTTCTCCCGATTGGGGGGGGGGGGGGGGGGTTGCAGCGTGCAGCGCGTTACCTTCTCGACAGAACTGGAGATTGAAGCTAACGAAAACACGCTGTTATTCCATTTCCCATGTATTTTGTCAATCAAGGCAACGTAGGCGTTATTTCGTTGACATGCCGCTTCTAGAAGCTCGTTACATGGCACGTAAACAGCGTCTCGGTAAGGATCATGACCCGGGCCCGGGGGGGGGGGGGGGGGGGGGGGGGGGGGGGGAGGCTTGCCCCTCTTGGCTTTTACCAGGTGGGGCACGAGCCCCGATGCCCCCCCCCCCCCCCCCCCCCCCCCAGAATCTACGCCAATGCATGTGACGATATCATTGTAAGCGTGTCATCAACCGTAGAAATGTGCGGTTTGAAAATGTCATCCTAATTTTAAACGCATCATTATTATTGTGGTGGAAGAGTACAATCAAAATAGCCCAAAAATGATTGGGTAAGCAGCCTTTTTAAAAGAAAAGCAGACAGGGTAAGATAACTGCCTTAGCTAAATATTTTATACATAAAAAAGTGGTACTGCGTTTTTGGGCACGTAGTTGTTTCCTCAATAAATATTAAATTGAGAGTTGAGTGCTTTCCTTGTCTACCACTCTTTGCTTGTCTTTGTCTTTTTAGAGCGTTGTGGACGTTTATCTTAAAAAAATCTGAGTATAAAATAAACCTGACAGCTTTTCGTATACTCCTGAACTAACAGTTATTTGTTTCCGCAGGCTCATAAGAAACTGTTGACGCAGCACCCCTCCACGCCGCAGCGCTTGCCATGCATGACTGAGTTTAATGCTGACCAGTTGTTTTTTATATCACTGGCATATGTGAGTAAGCTTTCTCCATAAATATCACATTAAAAACGATAGCTTTGTTTTCATCAGGGGTCCATTGGCGCGCGAGCAATTTTTATGAAAGTGATATCATGTTAAACAACCGCGAAGGTCAACCTGTATACGAGAAGGTGTAGGTTGAAAGTATTGGTAGCATCACCGATCTTCTAGTTAACTGAAAAGAGATTGCCGTTTGTTGCTATTGTCGTACTTGACAAGATGTTTGTTTTATGACTATGAAAGCATGGGTGAGCTGACTGGCACACACTATTTGTGTAATAGACGGATGATGAGTGAGGTCATATTTTTGCACTAGGATGTCAATGTGTTTAATCATTGCGCAGCGCTACTGAACATCGTATATTAACGTCTTACACAAAGGTCTGGTTTTGAACGCTCACGTTTTACATAGCACTTAGCCCATCACCCGTCCTGCGACTTTTTTTTCTTCTTTTTAACGACTTCGACTCCACCTTACATAAGTTTTATATTGATATTATTGGTTGCGAACAAACAATTAGAGAGTGAAATGGAGTCTTCCTTTCATTCTGAGATGTAAGCGCATGTTCTTGAGATGTGAATTCTTATTATTACGACGTAGTGCACCACCAAAAAGAGCATAGCTGTTTCTGCGGCACTAAAAATAACACAAATGAAAATAAAGTGAATTATATTAAATAAAATTATATGTCACCCCCGCACTCCGTAGGGCTATTACTGACCTTCTAATGTCGCCGACAGCTGAAAAAACGCAGATATTACGTTTTTAGTTGTCCATGATTATAGCCAGAAAGTCTGTTTTCCTGGAATGTATTGGTCCTTCTCAGCGCATCTGAATGTGTTCCTGTCTGTTTCTTCTCAAAGGCTACGCTTTATTAGACATCCAACTGGAGGCAAAGGGCTTCTACGAGGGAATTTTCACTCGTGGCAGTTAAATTGGTTTGCGCATACGTTTGTATTTTCACAAACATGCTTTAATATTAAAATGGCAAGGTTATAACTCAAGTTGTATTCGCTCAAGACACGGCCGCCTTTCATTCTTATCGTTATTATACCTACCGAAATATCCACCTTTAGGGGAATTGACAATTTGACATTTAAATGTTAGTTGATGGCAGCGGAATGCGAAACAGAGAGCTACAGAGGATTAAATAAATCTGCGTGTTTTCACTGCTTGTGTCTGAAACGAAGACAACTCCCTCTACTGTAAATTCATTACACGAATCGAGAACACCGAACATTGCTTCGCATGTGGGCGTTCCGATAGCCAGACGTTATGTCTCAAGGTGGGGGCACGACACAACCATGCCGAATCTAACGCAGTTCATACCACAGGTGCTGCTGCTCGTCATCGCTGCACCAACAGCTTCACCGATTGCCTTTGGCGCGGACGTCACCCACGTGATTGGTCTCGCAGGAACTACCCGGGAGGAATCCACGGCTGCGTCATCTGTGACGTGGTACAACATCGATGACTTCCGCACGGGGGCGCACCGGGGAACGCTTCCGTTTCCGTCGACTGGCTGTTGTCTACAAAAGGATCTACCACCCTTGCAAGCATCGGGGCACGACACAACCATGCCGAATCTAACGCAGTTCATACCACAGGTGCTGCTGCTCGTCATCGCTGCACCAACAGCTTCACCGATTGCCTTTGGCGCGGACGTCACCCACGTGATTGGTCTCGCTGGAACTACCCGGGAGGAATCCACGGCTGCGTCATCTGTGACGTGGTACAACATCGATGACTTCCGCACGGGGGCGCACCGGGGAACGCTTCCGTTTCCGTCGACTGGCTGTTGTCTACAAAAGGATCTACCACCCTTGCAAGCATCGGGGCACGACACAACCATGCCGAATCTAACGCAGTTCATACCACAGGTTTGTTACTTGAAATACGCGAAATGTTATCGTTCCAATAACATACTGCTCTTAGAGGTGTCGTGCCCCATCGACCTAAAGCGTCTACTAACCCTTTGTTGCAGCGCTGTAACCTTTGTGTTCAATTGTTTACTTTCGTTACCCCATGATGGCTGCCTTCTTTTCCTTGACGCGTTATTGCTGCTTTGCGGAGACGTCGAGCTCAACCCTGGCCCTACTGATATGGAAAAATTGAGCAAACTAATTGAAAACCTGGCGTCGACCAATGACAAGTATCAAAACGAGACACGCGAAAGACTGAGCGGCATCAGTTCAGGGATCGACGAACTAAAGCAGAAGGTAGCTACTCTCGAGAAGCAAATGCAGGAAATAAACGGAATTAAGGAAAGGCTTGCCGTGGTCGAATCTTCCGTGCACGAAGTTCAAAGAGAAATCTGTCACTCGCATGATAAAATAGACGCCCTTGACGCTGGTATCGACGACCTCAACAACAGAATGAGGCGGAACAACTTGTTATTTAGGGGCATCCCAGAGAAACAAAAGGAGACGTGGGAAGAAACGGCTTGCCTCATAAAAGAATTCGTTAATAACCATCTGGGTATAGAGACTGGGGAGATAGAACGTGCACATCGCGTCGGCCAAAAGCGCGGGGTATCTGCTCGACCGATTGTAGTGCGCTTCTTAGACTACAGGAATAGACAAAACGTGCTGAATAACGCCAGTAAACTGAAGCATTTAACTTCATTGAAGGTGTCTATCTCGGAGGACTTTACTGCTAGGGTTTCCTTCCACCGGAGCAAATTGTGGCACTTTAGTAAGCAGTTCAGAGAAAAAAACATTAAAGTGAAACTCGTGTACGACAAACTTTATGCTGATGGCAAGCAATATTCATACTGTTCCGACAGTGACGAGATTATTTTGCTTAACAACTTCCAAACCACAAATTTGGCGACTACTTGACAACCTGATAAAACATCTAGACATGAGTGTGTTGATCTCGGAGTGCTCGTGGCGAATTTTCGTAGTTTTTTACCTAAACAAGATATTTTTTTGTCAACTGTGAATGACACGGACGCAAAAATTGTTATCGGGACAGAAACGTGGCTATATCCGGAGATAAACGATGGCGAATTATTTTTTAATCAATCATTTCATCTATTACAAAAAGACCGCACACATTCCCGTGGTGGCGGCATTCTTATCGCTACCAGCAAAATGATGGATGCTTCCCTTATATCTTTAGATAGTGAACTAGAAATTTTGTGGGTACGCTTGAGTCACCCTTCGTTGCCCATCATTGTTGGCGCCTGCTATCGCCCTCCAGGCCGAGATAGTACTTTTGTTACGAAGCTGCACGCTTGCATGGAGCAATTTTTTTCTTTATTTCCCAGTAGTACTGTTATTTTTGGCGGCGATTTTAATTACCCCGGGGTCAACTGGAAAGAGGAAGAAATAAACTCTTGGGTGGCCCATTCAGAAGTGTCCAGTTTTGTTGACTTGATGAATAGCTACGGTTTAACTCAAACTGTATTGGAACCCACAAGAAATAATTCTGTTTTGGATCTTGTTTTTACCTCGAGTGCAGAAAATGTAAAATCGGTTCGTATTCTTGAGAAAATCAGCGACCATAACACAGTCCTAGTAGAAATGTCTCTGCCAGTAATAGGTAAAAAAATAACCCCTAAAACCATAAACGTCTACAGTAGAGTTAATGAAAACGCTCTAAACGAGTCCTTTGAGCTGTTTGCTTCGGAATACGAGCTGCATTTTAGCGAAAGAACAGTCGAGCGCAACTGGGAAATGCTCAAAAATGAATTTAGGCGTATAAAGTCTGATTTTGTACCTCAGATGGTTTTAAGGACGAGTGCTGATCAACCATGGTTTACAAATATCCTTAGGAAAATAAATAACAAAAAGAAACGTCTTTATGTCAAAGCAAAAATTACAAACCTTGCGTCTGACTTCACTAAGTATAATGACTGCTGTAAAGAGTTTAAAAGTAACATCAAGAAGGCAAAGGATAAATATTACAAGCAAGACCTACTTAACTTATTAATAAACAATCCCCAAAAATTTTGGAAAAGTATATGTCCGAGAAAAGATGATTCGCTTCCTAAATTGTGCAACGAACACAACGAAGTGCTAACGAACCTTGAATCAGCTACCGTCTTTAATAACTACTTTGCATCCATATTTACCTTAGAACAATTACCTGTACCCAGTGATCAAATATGTAAACCAATTAACGTCTACTGTGAACCTATCACTTTTAACCCCTATGGCATTTTGAGTGTGATAGAAAGGCTCTCCCGAAGTTCAGGTCCTGGTGATGACGAAATCTGTCCTAAACTTCTCAAATTAACAAAGAACATATCCTGTCGCCTTTTGTGTCGCTTGTTCCAACAATCGCTCGACTTAACTTCCCTTCCCGCAGACTGGAGATTCGGGAGAGTTTTACCCATTTTTAAGACCGGCAATAAAAACGACTCATCAAATTATAGACCCATATCACTAACTAGTGTGCCTTGCAAGATTATGGAACATGTCATCTACTCCCACATTATGAACTATATGTCAGAACATCAATTAATATGTAATAGTCAGCATGGCTTCAGGAAGGGATATTCATGCGAAACCCAACTTTTTGAGTTCGTTACTGATCTACATAACAACTTCCACTCGTCTCACCCTACTGACGCCATCTTCATTGATTTCTCAAAAGCATTCGACACGGTTCCTCACCAACGTCTCCTATATAAACTTTCAAAACTAAACATTCACCCTTCTATTATCCACTGGATCGCTCAATTCTTAAGTAACCGTAACCAGGCTGTCCACCTGGGGCAGGACAAATCACCTAGCCTTCCCGTAATATCAGGTGTTCCGCAGGGCAGCGTTTTGGGTCCGCTTTTATTTCTTATCTATATTAATGACCTTCCTCTCCATATAACATCTTCCATAAGGCTTTCCGCAGATGATTGTGTTATTTATCGTCGTATTACTAAACCTGAAGAGTCTTTAATATTGCAGCAGGATTTAAATATGTTTTCACTATGGTGTAACACATGGCAGATGAAAGTTAATGTCACCAAGAGTAAACTATTAACATTCACTGGCCAACGAACGCCTGCAATACGAAATTATACATTACAAACTCTGCCTCTCGAAAAAGTGTCCAGCTACAAATATTTAGGTGTAACATTTTCAGACGACCTAACCTGGAATACCCACTTTAACACTGTAGTTTCTAGTGCTTGTAAATCCCTAGGATATATCAAACGTAACCTTCACAGTACCCCGCATTGTGTTAAACTAACAGCCTATAAATCCTTTGTGAGGGCTAAATTGGACTATGCCAACTTTATTTGGTGGCCGCATCAAGCTTACCTTATTATCAAACTTGAATCAGTTCAGAATAAAGCATCTCGCTTCATATCTCATGACTACTCACGGACATCAAGCGTAACCGCACTTAAAACAAATCTAGACCTTTGCCCACTGGCCGAAAGAACTAAACTTGCTCGTCTTGTCATGTTCCACAAAATCTACTATTCCTCTTCGTCATTCCGAAACCATTACTGCCAACCTCCATCTCACATCTCCTTACGTCGTGACCACAGCCAGAAAATAAACCCTCTATTTGCGAGAACTAATAAATTTCAAAATTCCCCGCTCTCTCTAGCCATCAATAACTGGAATTCTCTTCCTGAGGCTATTGCTCTCGAAAATAATCCAGCTAAATTCCGCGATCTTTGCAAGGCACACCTCAAAAGTGTTTTTCGTTAGTCTAAATGTTTATGTCGGTAGCTAGTCATTAGTTTTCTTTTTTATGCATCCTGATGCGATTTAACCCTAGCCATTTTTTCGGCAAATATTACTATTTGTATTTGTTTGTGAATCTACTTTTGCTTTTGTTTGTTTTTATGTGAGTTTGTATTCTTATCCCCCCTCATGTAATGCACTTCGGTAGAAGTGCCTTTGAGGTATAATAAAATGAAATGAAATGAAATAAAAGGTGATAGGAGAATGACGGACGAATTCTCGTTCCTTCCGTCTGTAAGGTTTTTTGTCAGTTTAATAGATACAAGGTTCATTTTCAGCCACTGGCAAATAGGCCTGCTGCGGCAGAGCCTCCAGCGCGGCGGTGGGAGATCATGTTAATCGCTGCTCTGTTTAGAAAACAACAACAAAATAAGTTTTTTTTTACAGGTTAACAAAAACGTTGCCTATTGTTGAATAATTATTTATATTTGGTGCACTTTCACGATAAGTCCCTACCTGTTTATGCTTGGCACGCAAGGGGTGCGATACCAAATTCATTTCCATAATCTTCAAGTTAGAATTCGGGAACCTTTAAATTCTGAAATATTTTGCACTTTTTCTTTCAGCTCTAGGGGGCTTGCCGCTCATAAAAATATATATTTGAATATTGCATTTCGAAATATCGAAAGTTTTTTCTGGCATATTAAATGTAAATTTGAGTTATTGCAGGTTGCCCTCAGTGTACTCCTGTTTTGTTCTACAGAGCTTTTGCCAAAACTATCAGGACGCAGAACTCAGGGACATTGTCAAGCGGGACCCTCATTCCCCATCTAAAATAAGGTACCATCTTATCATGAAAGCCTTTACAACATTTCGTGAACTAAACTCTAGGAAATTTTCTTCAGTTAAAAGTTTTAGAATTTCTGAAGTGTACATGTAAATCTTATTATTCTTAATTATTTGCCACTCTTTTTAGGGTCAACCGGCATCTGGGCAATTCTCCCATCTTTTTGAAGACATTCAGCTGCAATGCGACCAGTCGCATGAATATAACAAACAAATGCTACGTGTAATATGCACCAGCAATATTTGCATTTACTAGTCAAATATTTACGCAATAAACACGTTCCAAATAGCTCAAAGCTGATTATTCATACTTTAAAAATGGCGTCCGTTGCAAGTGTCGTGTTTAATCTACGTCAAAACGTAATATATATATATATATATATATATATTACGTAATATATATATATATATATATATATATATATATATATATATATATATATATATATATATATATATATATATATATATATATAGGTAAAGTAAGGTAAATATAAAAACAATGGACCGGGAAAAGTTAATAAGTGAAAGATGCGTACTGTCGGAGTTACTAATTCGAAGTTTATTACGACGTTTCGAGCGGGGACCGCTCTTCATCAGGTAGCGAGGGTACAGCCCGCGAATGTTTATATACCCCTCAGAAGAAATTAGAGGGAGTAAAGTGCAGTAGGAAATAGAAACAGCGTTGACAAAACAGATAGTTTACACAGAAAAGAGAGGGCACCAAAACTTGACAATCATTAAAAAAAAAAAAAAAATTGGTTTGCAGGAAAAGACTATTTACGCTCGCGCGCAAAAAAAAAAAAAAAAAAGACAGTTGTTGGTGGAGAGATTATTTCCTCTCACACAAAAAAATAAAAAAAATAAAAATGAAAAGTGTTTGAAAGTCTTGGGTTGGGAAGGGGTGGCTCGTCTTCAAACTAGAAATAGGATACACGTGACCACCGACGCCCCCAAATCCCGTGGCATTCCTTTGTGCTAGAGGTCGAAGTTAAACACTTTGGGGGATTTTTTCTTGGATAAGGAGTGGTAGGGATGTGCCAGTCTATGCCTGCCTGAGATTAACCGCTTGAGCCGCATTTATCCGTTTTGGAGGTTCTCTTCGGACTTAAACGCATTAGGATGTGGTTTAACTATCGATTGTTAAGTTTAAAGATCTCCTAGTGTCTTCAGCGTGTGCATCTAGAGAAGCTCAAGGGCGGAGAGGATCAGCTCTCCAACGAGCCAGCTGCAAAACAGACAGCCTCCCCGGACTTTCATTAATGCCCTGGTTGAAGGTATTAAACTTATAAATAAAATATGATTCTTTTTGCTCTCTTTCAATTTTTGTGCTGAAGCCTGATTCCAAAATTACAACAGAAATGTGCTTGATTGAGTGATTAGAAAGAGACAGGTGCTTTGAGAGCGGAAGGTCGGGGAGTGTTTGTGCGTGACATTTGTGGTTGTTAAAGCGTAGTCTGAAAGCCAAATTAGTCTGTCCGACATACTGTTTATTACAGACATTGCAGTGCAGGAGATAAATCACGTTTGACGTGCCGCAATCGTAGCTACCCTTTATGTTCCACGTGAACTCTGAATTTGTGCTCGTGGCGTTCTTTGTTTCTAACATGTGCTTGCATACTTTACACCTGGGCTTTCGGCATGGTCGGCAACCTAGGTTTGCGGGAGTGGTAGTTTTTGATTTTACTAAGACGTCCCGGAGATTCCTGCCGCGTCGATAGACGACCCGAGGAGCGGCGGGAAAGATTTCTTTGAGGCGGTCGCTCTGTGACAGAAGATTGTAATTTTTGCTCAATATGTTGTTGATGTTTGGAAGATTGCCTGTACACGTTAAAATAAGGTTAGACTGTCTGCTTTCTTGAGGACACTCTATTCGGTTGCCAATGATGTCTGAGCGGTCGAGGTTTCTTGCCTTGTTTATAGCGTCATCGATTACATTTGCTGGATACCTCTGCTGGGTTAGTACGCGTTTCAGTTCCTGAGCGTTTTGTTCAAAGTCGTTGTTGTCTGAGCATATGCGCTTAAATCTGTGCGCCTGAGAGTACGGCAGACTAGTCTTACAGTGTCAAGGATGGCAGCTGTTAAAATGGAGGTATTGTTGTCTATCGGTAGGTTTTCTGTAAAGTTTCGTACTTAATTTGTTATTGGCAATTTCCAAAGTTACATCCAGGAAGTTTATGCACTTTTGTGATACGGAGTGAGTAAATTTTATCGATGAGTGAGCTAAATTGAAGGCGGCGATAAATTTCATGAGTTCGTCTTCAGCACCGGCCCAGATAATGAATATGTCGTCGATGTATCTTGTGTAAAACAGCGGTTGAGTGGGGCGTTCAGCGAGAAAGGTGGTTTCCAGTTGTGACATAAATATGTTAGCGTAATTTGGCGCCATCTTAGTTCCCATAGCGGTTCCATTGGTCTGCAGGAAGTGCCTATTCTCAAATTCAAAGTGATTGTTCTCCAAAACCAGTTTCATCAGCACTTTACTCCCTCTAATTTCTTCTTAGGGGTATATAAACATTCGCGGGCTGTACCCTCGCTACCTGATGAAGAGCGGTCCCCGCTCGAAACGTCGTAATAAACTTCGAATTAGTAACTCCGACAGTACGCATCTTTCACTATATATATATATATATATATATTTTCTTCAGAAATGAAGACAAAGGGTAAAATAAAAAGATTGGGAATGCAAAAGCGATAATCCAACTAAAACGAGCAGGTAGGTAACCCACACTTTTTTTATTTAGCAAAAAGTCAAATATAATTCAAGAAATGGAGAGTAGGCTTTCGGGTTGTGGACATTTATCGCATTCCTAGTGTTTGCCCTTTCGAATAAAACGCGGTGTTTCATTTGCCCAAGCCGACCTATTTATTTAATAAATAGCACGCATTACAACAGCTCTTACTTCACAAGTAAGCATATAAGAAACGTAAAAAAACACCGCATAATGCAATTCAGAAGTTCACTACTTATCGCCAGAAATGCGGCAAACGAACCTCACGCTCCTTATGTTGGTCTATTATGCCAGAACTTGATTTTGGCTACACTCTAAGGACAAATAGAGGAAAAAGGTTGCAAGGCACATCTTTCTCCCTCCTACTGACGCGCCCCCCAGCGGACACGAGAAGTAGGGAGGAACGAGACGTTTTTTTCCTTCTCCAGGCAGACGGTAGAAAGCTTTCGCCCTCCCGACTCATCTTCTTTCGGCTCCGTTTTTCGAGCACGTCGCGCACGTTTTTTAATAAATGTTGTTGAGTTGATTGAGCTTCAGCAGCAGCGAAGGCCGCCTGTAATTACGTCTTCTAGTCCAAACGTGCAGAACATTTCAGTTGCATTGACGTTTCTACCACTAATTTATCAAACGAGCAAACGAAGCCGATAGAAACAGCGAAATTCCGGAGTATGCCAGCAGCGCTACATACACTCGGTAAAATGGCAGTCTCCGGTTTGCAGGCAAGGAGATTTAAAACCTCCTAGTTTGCGGTACCCACGCGGAACTACAGTAGTGGAACCACGCGGAACTGTGTCGACGTTTTCGACGTTATCGAAATCGCAGGAACTGCGTACAAGACAGGCAGGTTTTGCTGCAGTTCGGTTCTGTTTTCCCATGCCGAGTGTTAACCGGCTATCAACGTGGTTCTGTATTTCTGCGTGTCACCAACATAGCAGCAACATCGTGAGTGCAGTGTTGTGCGTTGTGAACAGAAGACTGGAATTATCGCCGATGGGACCGTGGGTTCGCGTATCAGTGGTATAGCGAGATGATATGACGTAAGCTGTCGGGCATTTATGCCGCTGGTTGGGCCGTGATCCGATGGGCCGGTTTTTGTCGGTTGACATCCGCTTTACATTAGATTAAAGAGTTCAATACAACCTAAGGGATTAGGTGCAATCGATCAACGTGCGGATAGTCATGTTGGAACGCTGGTCTGAACAGTAAGCTCCTATCGTAGAGTGGCCAATGTTACTGTCGGTCTCCGAGAGCGATTGTGCTCTGGGGAAAAGACTGAATAGTACGAAATTATGACGGAAAGTACATATATTTACAGTGGATTTTTAGCATTAAAAAAGAATAGTAAGTAAAATTAAGAAAAAAAAAAGCTATCCTTTATTTTCCTGTTTAAATATACAACGGTTTCTGGAGAAACTGCCCTCCAAGTGGCGCGCTGGGATAAGCGCTAGAAGGTTTCGAGCGCGCCACGGCGTAGCTCCGTACACTTACCACCTGCTGCAAGTCGCAGCTTTGACCGCATTCAAGTTGATCGAAAAGCGACTTCTCTGCCCGTGAAGCATCACTTCCAGCTGAGTGGACATCCGCTCTGCAGAGATTAATTCAAGACGGCAATTGCAGCCGTGCGCGAACAGCACAAATAGAAAACAAACAATACAATAGAAACACTCGCTACGAAGTGTGCGCGTAAACAACCTCATGGCTTGGAACCGCATTGAAGCGGCTCGATATATTGACTTTCAACTGATTACGGCATGATCGAGCGTTTTCTTTAATAGCGCAGCTCTTAGGGGCCCGTTCCCGGCTTGAGCGGCGTCGGCGTCGGCGTAACCAAGGTCACCCCAAGGTCACGTGACCCCTCCCCCCGAGGACACGTGACCCCCCGAAGTCACGTGACACCTCCCCCCCCCCCCCGAGGTCAAGTGACCTCCCCGATGACGTCATCGTCACTGATGACGTCCCGAAGGAAAAATCCATCAATGTAACCTTGTTGGGCGGCGGAGAAAAGCTCACCGGAGAAAAGCTCACCGGAGAAAAACTCACCGGAGATAAGCTCACCGGAGAAAAGCTCACCGCAAAATCGGCAGATGCGGAGAAAAGCTCACCGATATTTGTTTTAGCTTAGATTGATTCTGCGTAAAACGGTGGCAATTTAACACAATTCGCATTCGTCACTTCATTAAAAATATATCCTCGTTTTTGTAATATTCTTGAGGTTTATTGGGCATATTTACTAATTCCTCAGAAATTAATAATCACCCATTCTGTAAATTAATGAAGCCGCAAGTATAAAATCCGAACATCGTACACCGGTAAAAAAGGCAACAATCTATTGACAGCTGAGGGTGCGCCGTCGGTAGCTCTGTCAGATAAAGAGGTTTGTTTTTTGCGAGCTAATATGAGTAGCGGTGTGTGAATCGCGTGAGGTCCAAATATAGTGTAGCGCCTAATAGATAAGTAGGTGTTTGTTGATGCAATCAGTGTCGGCTACGCTGTTT